GAGTTTGATTGCTTACTTTTATTTTTTCGATTCGTTCTTCAATAAAACTAATCACATTTGAAGTTGTGTCTATCTTAAAAGTAAAAAACCGAACATCTTCACCTACTACAAAATTGCGAAACATTTAATAATTTCCTGAAGACAAACACATTCATATCGATATTTCTAGAAATATTCCTTTTTATCTACCATATAGCAATTCCAATAACCCGATAAAGTTTGTTAGGTTAATTTTTGTTTATAAAAACATCAAAAAAGGCAGTTCGACAATGAACATCATTGTTCAGTTAGAATATTCTCATTCAGTTTACGGTTTCACTAGTAGAAAGGTACCACGTCAACAATCTCTAAAATGGTAAATTCTTGTCCATTGGAAAAAAAATTTCCGTCACGAATGTTTGCAAGGTGTCTTTTTCAACTGTGTAGAGACTTTAGAAGAGGAATAGGTATCATCCATACAACATTAAAATGGTACACCAATTAACTGAAGATGACCCTTATCAAAGAACAGAATTCTGCGAAATCATGACGGAAACCATTGCAAGGCATCCTACCTATCTCCACAATATTTGTTTTAGTGACGAATGTACATTTTCGTTAAACGGCAATGTTCATAGACAAACTTGCCGTTATTGGAGTGACACTGACCCTCACGTTTCCTGGAACACATAGCCATTATCCAGAAAAAATTAACGTTTTGGGCAGGAATATTGGGAATCTATATTGTAAGACCTCTATTTATTGATCAAAATTTAACAGGGAAACTGTATTTGAATATACTGGAAACTACTGTTGACCCTCTCATCACTGAAATCGTCGAAGCGAATCCTAATTAATTCGATATGAATATTGTATTCCAACAAGGAACTCCAGGAACTATTTGGATACTACTTTTACCGGTCGTTGGATTGGCCGTCAAGGTCCTATAGAATGGTCAGCCTGCTCGCCAGATTTAACACCTTTGGACTTTTTTTATGTGACTATTTGAAGCAACTGGACCTGCTCTAATATTGGATATACGGCAGAGAATAACAAATATTTGTAGAGATATTGACGTTACTGTGTTCGAAAATGTTCAGCGTGAAATATCGGATAGGCTGTTCATATGTCAAGAAGTTCAAGGCAACCATATCGAGCATCTTCTGAACTGACCTCAAGCTTATTACCTCATATTATGTAGTAAAATGTCAATGTATTGCCTATACAACAGCAGTTTTTTTGCCCAATTACAACAAAATTTATCTCAATATATGTTTTGGAATAAAAGTTGATACCTTCACATCCTACAATGGTAAAATTTTGTTAGGTATGTTTCACTATTTGCTTTCCTAATGAATTTGTCGAAATACTTGCCATTGAATACTTCTGATTTTTTTACCATTCTTTCTTTTAAGAAATGCGATGACCTCTGGGAAAGTAGCTGTGCTTACATTTCTCTTTACTGAAATGGTACATTTCCACATAGAATATACGCTCCACAAGGTAGAGGATTTGACAGTTACAAATTTTTGCGCCAAATAAGCCAAAATTGTATCCTCTGTAATAGTTATGCATTTCTTCGTATCCATCCATTTCCAGATCAAATCATAAATGTTTTCGTACCTGGACTACGATTTTTCAGACAATAATTGTGCTGGTGCTGCATTGGATATTTCGTTAGGCACATTATCGAACTCAATATCGCTGTTGCTTTCCATAGTTTATAGCGATACTTTATGCATAGAAACACTTATTCTGATGCATAGTGCATTGTACCTGAAAATGATATTTTTCAAAAGTGACATCAATATTGTTTTCAAGTTATAAATAAACGTTTCCTTTTGGTTCCAAAATGTTTTTTGAACAATATCTACCAATGATTTATTTTGGTATAAAATTGATTTCGAATACAATGTTCGAAATTTAAGAACTGATACCTGACAAAATATGTCGGTTACTAAGAATCGCATGTTAGATGGTAAGACTACGTTAATCCGCAACTCGCATAAAATTTCCACTTTTGAATATTGTCATTCCTTGGTGACAGTGGTCAAACCACATTTCAACACGTTTAAAAAAATCAATAATAGCAGTGAGACTTTTTTTTGTTTAATAATAATGTTCCAAGGTCGCTTGTTTGAATTTTACTAATAGCTCATAGACTTCAATATTTTGGTTTCAAAAGTATTGAAAGTTTACTTGAATGTTGTAAGAAATATGGTTGTAATGAATATTTTGAAAATTCATTTCAAATGTGTTTGAAATCTTCATTCCATTATTGTGAAACTGGCCTCTAAATATTATGGCATGTTATCCACTTCTACTGATATAATTGTATTTTAATGCAAATTTTATCGACAAAAACTTTCTCTCATTTACTGATAACATTCTTTTCGAAAACGAATACGTTTTGTTTATTTCTATCTAGTTTTTCATTTACTTACATCATAATTTTTCGAGAAACTTGTTACATTCATATATTTATTTTGTTCATATTTTAATTACATGCATTTTCAAAACTAAACCATCAACACATAAATGTTTTCAAAATGTCTATCAAACGTTCATTTGAAATAGTCGTAAATCATCCCATTCTGTCATCATTTAAAAATGTGTTTCTTCACTGTGAAATAATATCAGCAGCTTCTCGAGTGGTATAAAAGCATTCCTGTAATATAGACAACTCACAACACAAATAACTGTGATTTATATTGCGTATACGTATATTAGACGATACTAGTTTACTTCAAAATGTTAATTCGAAAGTTTTGTCCATTGTCATGTGTTTTTAAAGCTCAATACCTCAATAAATATTTTATATACTGTGTCGTAGTATAATGATCGATAGATAATTTTGTACTCCATATCTGTAGAGTAGGGAGGGTGAGTGTAAGCCCACAGTACTTAGGCCACATGTGACCCATTTACATCCTACCGAGGAGTTGTCCTCCTAGGTCATCGTCCATCCTGTCCTTTCCAGGAAGGTGGACAAGTCACTGAGAGACATCTCCTTTATATCGGCAGGTGTAGGCCAAGACTCGCCGAACACACTCTCT